GCCCTGAGGGCAGAGTAAGAGACAAGATGTCCCAACTCAAATTGGTATCCAAGGTCCTTTGACAATCCTGTGTGTGTGATAGAGAGACAGACAGACACAGATACATAGATTCAGGTTCTCAAATGACTGGATGATGCCCAATCAGATTGGAGAGGGAAATCTACTCTACTGAGTCCATCTATTGAGTTCAAATGCAAACCTCTTCTAGAAACAGCCTGCCAGACACATCTAGAAGTAATGCTTAATCTGTGCACTCCACAACTCATTCAAGTTGATGCATCAAATTAACCATCATACATATCAGTCCAAAAAGTCTACAAAACACAAGGTAAGACAGCAAGGGGGAAAGGCAGACCAAAAAAAAAAAAAAAATACAAGACCAACAGGCAACAGGCAATAATTAACAAAATGCAATAGTAAACCTTTCCTTATCAATAATTACTTCAAATGTAAATGAATTAAGTTCTCCAATAAAAAAAGACATAGAGTACCTAAGTGGATAAAATAGCCAGACCCAATTATATGTCATCTACGGGAAACTCATTTTGAATTTAAGGACACACATATACAGAAAGTGAAAAGACAGAAAGATATGCCAAGTAAATGGTAACCAAAGGGGGCAGGGGTGACTCTACTTACTTCAGACAAGATATACTGTAAGCTTATAGATCACAATAACAAATGTCCATACATAAAGAACTGGAGAAGAGGAGCAGGGGACAGGGTGGGGAAGTGGGGATGCTGCCCCCTGCCTGAGTTCATCAGTGCACGCTCTCTGCATCTGTTGCTGTATTGTACTCCGCCCTTTAAGGTTTGCAAGTGTTGGGCACTAATAGGAAATTGTTAAGAACAAAATAAAGAAAAAATGGACTCTCACTCAAAAATTGTCACAAAAGACAAAGGACATTGTATTATAACAAAATGGTCAAGTCACCAGGAAGATAGATCAATTATAAACATACATGAATGGAATATCCAAGCATAAAACATGACGGAACTGAGGAGAAGTGGAGCATAATACAGTAGTAGGAGACTTCCCTACCTCATGTTTAGCAATAGATAGAAGATCCAGACAGAAGGCAGACAAGGAAACAGAGCACTGAACAACAGCATAGACGTCTACCGAACATTCTACCCAACAGCACCAGAAGGCACATTTTTCTCAAGTACCCAGGGAACTTTCTCCAGGATAGAATAAATGTTACATCACAAAAACCTTTTGTTGACCAAAAAAAGAATGAAACTAGAAATGAACAGCAGAAGGAAAACTGGAAAATCCACAAATATGTGGAAATTAACACACTCCTGAACAACTATTGAGTCAAACAGTATGTCCAAAAGGAAATTTAAAAGTTCCTTGAGATAAATGGAAATGAAAAGAATATACGAGGGCCGGCGCCGTGGCTCAATAGGCTAATCCTCCACCTTGCAGTGCCGGCACACCGGGTTCTAGTCCCGGTCGGGGCGCCGGATTCTGTCCCGATTGCCCCTCTTCCAGGCCAGCTCTCTGCTGTGGCCAGGGAGTGCAGTGGAGGATGGCCCAAGTGCTTGGGCCCTGCACCCGCATGGGAGACCAGGAGAAGTACCTGGCTCCTGCCATCGGATCAGCGCGGTGCGCCGGCCGCAGCGCGCCAGCCGCGGTGGCCATTGGAGGGTGAACCAACGGCAAAAGGAAGACCTTCCTCTCTGTCTCTCTCTCTCACTGTCCACACTGCCTGTCAAAAAAAAAAAAAAAAAAATATACGAGAGCTTGCAAGATAGTTCTCAGATGGAAGCTCCTAGCAATAAACACCTACAATAAAAATAAAACTATCATTAAATAGACAACCTAACTTTATACCTTCAGAAGCTAAAAACTGACAAACCCTTGGCCAGGCTGAGGAAAGAGAGAAATGTCAAACAAATAAAATCAGAACTGAAAGAAGAGATAACATAACTGATACCACAGGAATAAAAAAGGATCACCAGAGATTACTATTAATAATTATACAAAAAGCTAGACAACCTAAAAGACATGGACAAATCCCTAGAAACATAACATAGCAAGCCTAAATCGGAAGAAATAGAAGTCTGAACAGATCTGTCCCTAGTATGGAGACAATTGATCAAAACCTCCCAAAGAAAATCCCAGGACCCGATGGTTTCACTGGTGAACACTACTAAACATTTCAAGATGAATTAAGGCATAGACATCATGACACAGCAGACTGAGCTGCTACTTGGGGTGGCCACAATCCACATCAGAGTGTTGGTGTCAGTCCCAGCTACTCAGCTTCTGGTCCAGCTTCCTGCTAATGTATCCCAGAAAGCAGCAGGTGATGACACAAGTCTTTGGGTTCCTGTCACTCACACAGGAGACCCAGAGTTCCAGGCAAATAGTTTCAGTTTGGTCTAGCCCTGGGTATTGTGAGCATTTGGGGAACCACCAAATCAAAGAACTCCCCACCCCATCTCACTCTACCTTTCAAGTAGATGAAAATGATAAATAAATATTTTAAAAAACTTATACCAATCCTTCTCAAACTCTTCTAAAAAGTTAAAGATGAGGGAACACTTTCAAACTCATTTTATGAGGCCAGCATTATCCTGATGCCAAAACAAGACAAAAACACCACAAGGGGAAAAAAAAAACACAGGTCAATATCCCTGGTGATTATAAATATAACAATCCTCAACAAAATATGAAGGCATCTCAAAAAAATCTATGGAAAATAGAATTCTAAATGTTTTAGTGCAAAAAATCTTTGAACCCATGCATAGTTTATTCACAATGTGCAGTTCAATGGACTTGCTGAAGGTCTTATACTAGAAAACCAAATGAATCTGGTGGGATTAATTTTTCTCTGAAATGCCAGGATGGTTCAACATATGAAAACCAATTAATGTAATCATTTTTCCCTTATTTATTTAAGAGGCAGAGTTAGAGAGAGAGAGAGAGAGAGAGAGAGAGAGGGAGAGGGAGGGAGGGAGAGGGAGAGAGAGGGAGAGGGAGAGGGAGGGAGAGGGAGGGAGAGAGAGAGGTCTTCTATCCACTGGTTCACTCCTCAGATGGCTGCAACAGCCAGAGCTGGGCCAGTCCAAAGCCAGGAGCCAGGCACTTCTGGGTCTCCCACGTGGGTGCAGGGGCCCAAGGACGTGGGCCATCTTCTACTGCTTTCTAAAGCCATAGCAGAGAGCTGTATCAGGAGAGGAGCAGCCAAGACATGAACTGTTGCCCATATGGGATGCCAGCACCACAGCCAGAGGCTTAACTTACTATGCCACAATGCCAGCTCCTTAATGTAATCAATTGCATCAACAGAATGAAGGACAAAAAATACTACATCTCAACAGATACAGGAAAAGCTTTTGACAAAATTCAACATCCTTTCATGACAAAAAAAAAAAAAAAACTCAACAAACTAAGTATCTCAACATAATAAAGACCATCTATGAAAAGCCCACAGCAAACATCATACTCAATGTTGAAAGCTCCAAATTTTCTAAGATCAGTAACAAAACAAGGATGCCACTTCTATTCAACATAGTACTTGAAGTTCTAGCCAGAGCAATTAGATAAGAAAAAGAAATAAAAGATATTCAAGTGGATAAGGAAGAAATAAAACTGCCCTGTTTCAGGCAATATGATACAACATATAGAAGCCTTGAAAGACTCCTCTAAAAATCTGTTAAAACTAATAAACAAATTCAGCCAAGCTGTCAGATACTACAATCAACATAAAAAATAAGTTGAATTTTTTAGCTTTCATTTTTGTAAACTTTTATTTAATAAATATAAATTTTGAAAGTACAACATTTGGATTATAGCAGTTTTCCCCCCCATAACCACCCTCCCACCCACAAACCATCCCATCTCCTACTCCCTCTCCCATCCCATTCTTCATTAAGATTCATTTTTAATTATCTTTACATACAGAAGATCAACTTAGCATATACTAAGTAAAGATTTCAATAGTTTGCACCCACACAAACACACAAAGTATAAAGTACTGTTTGAACACTAGTTTTACCATTAATTCGCACGGTACAACACATTAAGGATGGATATCCAACATGGGGAGTAAGTGCACAGTGACTCCTGTTGTTGATTTAATAACTGACACTCTTATTTATGACGTCAGTAATCACCTGAAGCTGCCAAGGCTATGGAAGCCTCGAGTTCACCAACTCTGACCTTATTTAGACAAGGCCATAATCAAAATAGAAGTTCTCTCCTCCCATCAGAGAAAGGTATCTCCTACTTTGATGGCCTGTTCTTTCCGCTGGGATCTCACTCACAGAGATCTTTCATTTAGGTCATTTTTTTGCCTTAGTGACTTGGCTTTCCATGCCTGAGAAACTCTCATGGGCTTTTTAGCCAGATCCAAATGTCTTAAGGGCTGATTCTGAGGCCAGAGTGCTGTTTGGGGCATTTGCCATTCTATGAGTCTGCCGTGTATCCCGCTTCCCATGTTGGATTGTTCTCTCCTTTTTAATTATATCAGTTATTATTAGCAGACACTGGTCTTGTTTATGTGATTCCTTTGACACTTAATCCTATCTTTATGTTCAATTATGAACTTAAACTGATCACTTTAACTAGTAAGATGGTATTGGTACATGCCAACTTAATGGGATTTGGAGTCCCATGGCATGATTCTAGCTCTACCATTAGAGGTAAGTCCAAGTGAGCATGTGCCAAACTGTACATCTCCTCCCTTTCTTATTCCCACTCTTATTTTCAGTTAAATTTAAACACCTAAGATTAATTGTGTGTTAATTAAAGAGTTCAACCAATGGTATTAAGTAGAACAAGAAAATACTAAAAAGAATAAAATAGTAAGCTGTTCGTCAACAGTCAGGACAAGGGCTGATCAACACATTGTTTCTCACAGTGTCAGTTTCACTTCTACAGGTTTCCTTTTAGGTGCTCAGTTGTCACAGATCAGGAAGAACATATGATATTTGTCCCTTTGGTACTGGCTTATTTCACTCAGCATGATGTTTTCCAGATTCCTCCATTTTGTTGCAAATGACCAGATTTCCAGATTTCTTTTTTTTTTTTTACCACTATATAGTATTTTTTTATTTTTTTATTTTTTTATTTTTTTGACAGGCAAAGTGGATAGTGAGAGAGACAGAGAGAAAGGTCTTCCTTTGCCATTGGTTCACCCTCCAATGGCTGCCGCGGCCAGCGCGCTGCGGCCGGCACACCACGCTGATCCGATGGCAGGAGCCAGGTACTTATCCTGGTCTCCCATGGGGTGCAGGGCCCAAGCACTTGGGCCATCCTCCACTGCACTCCCTGGCCACAGCAGAGAGCTGGCCTGGAAGAGGGGCAACCGGGACAGAATCCGGCACCCCGACTGGGACTAGAACCCGGTGTGCCGGCGCCGCAAGGAGAAGGATTAGCCTAGTGAGCCACGGCGCCGGCCACACTATATAGTATTCTATAGAGTACATATCCCATAATTTCTTTATTCAGTCTTCTGTTGATGGGCATTTAGGTTGATTCCATGTCTTAGCTATTGTGAATTGAGCTGCAATAAGTTGCATTTCTATACACTAACAAACTATCTGAAAAAGAAATTAGGAAAACAATCTCATCTACAATAGAACCAAGACATAGAAACAACATAAATTTTTACTGACAGGCCTGGCACTGTGGCACAGCGAGTTAAAGCCCTGGCCTGCAGCACTGGCATTCCATATGGACGCCAGTCCAAGTCCCAGTTGCTCCACTTCTGATCCAGCTCCCTGATAATGGGCCTGGGAAAGCAGTGGAGGATGGCCCAGGTCCTTGGACCCCTGCACCCATGTGGGATCCCAGGAAGAAGCTCCTGGCTCCTGGCTCCTGGCTTTGGATCAGCTGAATTCTGCCTGTTATGGCCATTTGGGGAGTTAATCAGCGGATGAAAGACCTCTCCTTCTTTCTGTCTCTACCTCTCTCTGTAACTCTGTATTTCAAATAAACAAAATAAATATTTAAATATTTACCGACAAAAGGATAAAGATAATATGGTATATACTCATACACACAGTGGACTATTAGTCAGCCATCAAAAAGAATGAAATTCTTCAACATGTGATGACATGGATGAACCTTGAAGAAATTATGCTGTGTGGGGCCAGTGTCGTGGCTCACTTGGTTAATCCTCCGTCTGCGGCGCCGGCATCCCATATGGGTGACGGGCTCTAGTTCCGATTGCTCCTCTTCCAGTCCAACTCTCTGCTGTGGCCTGGGAAGGCAGTGGAGGATGGCCCAAGTGCTTGGGCGCCTGCACCCATGTGGCTCCTGGCTTCAGATCAACATAGCTCTGACCATAGCAGCTATTTGTGGAGTGAACCAATGAAAGGAAGATCTTTCTCTGTCTCTCTCTATGGCTCTACCTGTCAAAAAAGAAAGAAAGAAAGAAAGAAATTAGGCTATGTGACATAATCTAGTCACAGAAAGACAAATCTTCTCGATCCCACTTATATAAAGTGTGAAAATAGTCCAATCCATAGAACTGATGAATGGAATGGCGTATGGGCGGTGCAGACCAGAATCAGCCACTCAGATAAGAATAAGGCCCCTTTTAGTTTATGTTGGAAACTTTCCAAAGTTCACCAAAGTGTTGGGAGTTGTACAGTGGTCCTCTGTGACACAGCTTCCACAATTAACAATCATCCAGTCTCGTTTCACCCAGTCCAACCCCATCCTCACACACACACACACACACATGCACGCACACACACACACACACACACACACATGCACGCACATCCCACAACAGAGGACCTCAGAGCAAATTCCAGATACGAAGCCTTCCCACCTGAAAATGCTCCCATGGCCGGCTGGCTCCCGAGTGCTTGCACCCACGGGCCCCTGCTCAGCTCTCAGCCCTCCCCACACCCACATATCACGGAGTCGCTCTGCACAGGTCACCCCCACCACCAGCTCTGGCTGCCTCTGTCCTCCTTCTCCATGGTTCCCTGCCCCCAGCACAATCCCCTCCCACAGCTGCAGCCCTCAATTCTTAGAGACCGACTCTCCCTTCTTTAACACTTGAACTTGACCAGAGCCCTGCCTCCTGAGAAAGCGGTGCCCTCCACTCTCACCCCCTCTGGATACAGCCCCTTTGCCTCACTTCCACCGTGGCAGGTCCTCTTGGAGGAGGGGGCTAAACGTGTGGCTTCTGCTTCCTCTCTTCATACTCACTGCTCAGTAGCTCAGGCGCTACCAGGTTAATGATTTCCACCAGACGAAACCCCCAGGCTCTCTTCAGGTGTCATCCTGCCACCGCCATGGCTTTGCTGGCCAATGTAGTACAGGTTCACGGTATGAAAGCCAGAAAAGAGAGAAGGTAACTAAGAAAATGTGAGTGACTGCTACAAATAAGATACCACGTGAAGGCTGAAGTAGAATTTCCTATGATGCGAGTCTTTCAAAGTTATTCCCTGCCATTGTTGTATATCCAGGGCTGCTTGGAAAGCTTCATGGAAAATGGAAGTAAAGGATAAGTTTATTTTGGTGCAAAAATCTTGAAATCCACACACACATTTTTACATAATATGCATTTCCATGAAACTTCCGAAGACCCCTCCTCATAGATATTTACCTACAGATATATGTATATATATGTATGTATGTATCTTTTCTAAAGGTTCATTTATTTATTTGAAAGGCAGAGTTACAGAGAAGCAGAGAGAGAGAGAGAGAGAGGTCTTCTGTCACTGGTTCACTCCCCAGATGGCTTCAATGGCAGGAGCTGGGCTGATCCGAAGCCAGGAGCTTCTTGCGGGTCTCCCATGCGGGCATAGGGGCCCAAGGACTTGGGCCATCTTCTACTGCTTTCCCAGGCCATAGCAGAGAGGTGGATCAGAAGTGGAGCAGCCGGGACCCAAACCGGTGTCCAAATGGGATGCGGGCACTGCAGACCGAGGCTTTACTCGCTATGCCACAGCGCTGACTATATATATGTATATATATATATATATAGTCTTAATTCATGTATAAAATGAATTCATCTTAATTCATGTATAAAATCTTGTAACAAGTACTGGCTTGTACGGTGCCTGACAAAAGTAGTGACTCAATAAATATTTTCTAAATCATGAGTGACCCCACTTAATAAGTCATTAATTTTGTTTGCATTTTCACAGCTGGGTGGTGTTCCACCCTTGGGCGTACTTTACCTTATTCCCTGCAGTTGGGTACTGACCTCAACCTTTTCAAATGAACAGCCCAGCACAACGGAAGCTAAGGGGACCAAGGCTTGGCAAAGGAAGACCCGTGTCCTTCCTGGCCATGGCAAATGCCAGCGATGAGGGAGGAGGCTGTGGCGCTGTCTCCGGGGCGGGCTTTTCAGGGCACACGGGACCTCACTCCCGGGACTCACCTAGGCCTGTCGTTGCAGGTGGAGATGGGCCCTGACATCCGTGAGGTCTCCTTCAGCCTCTGGGGCCAAGGCGCCCAATCCAGCTCTCCCAGAACAAAGAGCCCAGTCTCTATATCTAGAACCTCCTGCATAATTTCTATTCCTGGCTGTGAAATCTTCAGGGAAGGAGTATTCACTGAAATAGAGCTGCATTCTGTTCTTAATCAAAAATAAATGAAGAGAGGAGAGGCAGGGGGAGGAAAGAAACACGAAGTTAAAAGTCAGGACCCGAAAGCCCTCCAGCCATCGTCCTGTGGGTGTGAGTCTGGAGGACTGATACTGATCCATGCCTTGCAAACACCCTGCCCAGGGGCAGGCACCACCACCTGTGACACCAGCATCCCATATGGGCGCCGGTTCGAGTCCCAGCTGCTCCACTTCCAATCTAATCCCTGCTGATGCATCTAGGAAAGCAGTGGATGATGGTCCAAGTGCTTGGACCCCTGCACCCACATGGGAGACCTGGATGAAGCTTCCTGGCTCCTGGCTTCAGCTTGGCCCAAGCCCTGTTGTTGTGGCCATTTGGGAAGTGAATCAGAGGATGGAAGATTCTCCCTCTCCCCTGCCACCCCTACAACTCTACCTTTCAAATAAGTAGATAAATCTTAAAACACACACACACACACACACACACACACACACAACACTCCACCTCAGATACTAGATTGCTGGAGCATGAAAAGGAGCCCCACAAACGTGTCAGACCTAGAGCAGGGGGGGTGACACCTGTTGGTCAAATCCTGCTCACTACCTGTTTTTTATGGACCATGAGCTAGGAATGTTTTTACATTTTTTTTGTAAATTTATTCATTTATTTTAAAGGCAGAGTTACAGAGAGGCAGAGAGAGAGAGAGAGAGACCAACCCAAGCTGCTCTACTTCTAACCCAGTTCCCTGACGATGTGCCAGAGAAAGCAGTGGAGGATACCCAAGTCCTTGGGCCCCTGAAACCACGTAGGAGATGCAGGTGAAGCTCCTGGCTCCTGTTGCAGCCATTTGGTGAGTGAACCAGTGAATGACAGCTAGTGTTCTCTCTCCTCTCTTTCTCTTTCTAATTCTGACTTTAAAATAAAATAACATAAACCTTTAAAAAAAAAATTATGCTTGATGTTGAAAGGGAAACTGAGATGTGTATCCGGAGCCTTTTTAAAATGTGAAGTGGCTGAGAGGGAGTGTGGGTGCTTCGCTAGAGGGGGCACCCTGGGGTGCTGTAACTGCTCAGGATCTTGGCTGTGGTGGTGGACACATAAACCTACGCAGGTGATATCATTGTATAGAGCTTAATGCACGAGCACACACACACAGATGTCTGGGCAAATCGGAACAAGATCAGTGATTACATTACTGTCAATATCCTGGTTGTGATATTGTGCCACGGTGTTGCTAAACATCAGCGCTAGGGGGAACCTGGCACATGAACTTTCATTATCTCAATAAAATTTTCAGTGTAAAAATGAGAACTTGTCAAGATAAATGAGGTGCAGAAGCACCCCAGGTAAAACAGGAAGTTAATTTGTGGGCTATAAAAACTTGACAGCTAAGATATAAAATGTCACCGGTGGCTTGCAGGGGTTGAGGGAGGTGCTGGGGGGGCTGGGGGAATAGCTCTTCTGAGCCACCCACTCTCATTCTGTAGGGGAAGGGAAGAGAGAACTATGGTGACTTTTTTCCCCAGTAAATCACTCTATCCTTTGGAAACCCAGAGGTCCTCTGTAGCATTATTTATAAGAACAGTAAACTGGAAACAAATGAAAAGCTCATCATAACAGAAATAATCAATATATGTTATAGTTATATGATGGAATATATCATGGAACCAATTTTAAGACCTGTAAGATAAGATAGGCCTGCACAAGATACCGAGACAAGTGAAGGGAAGTCTACATGGACTTTGGGGTCTCCAAACCTTTTGACGGCTACACCAGGTGGGAGGCGGGGCGGAGACTGGAAGAACACAGGGGAAAGCGCTAACAATGAACTCGAGAGAAACTTGAGACAATTTGCTCAGCACCAAACAAACACGACATAAGGAGTGATCCTTGCAGATGTTGTAGAGGTGACAGGTTTTTTAAAAGTCCTTATGCCTTATCCAGTAGCAATCAAAACTGAAATCAACACAGAGGAGATGGACAGATTTTCATTCATTATTCCAGAAGGGTCCATAAATCACTTACACATTTAAAAAGTAAGGCGCATTCTTTAAAATGCTCATAGCAGTTGTTTCTGAGCGATGCAAGAGGATAACATCTTTCCTTTGCACCTGACTATACTTTCTAAATTTCCTATGATGAGTACTCAGAAAATGAGAAACCCCAAAGTAGGCTATGTTCGGAAAGACCAGGCCAGAAGGACAAGCTATTTACACGTGGATAACTGCAGCTCTGATTACATTAATCTGCAGCCAGGCCCTTTGAAGGCCACTTTACCTTTGGACTTATCAGTAAGTGGCTGCAGATACTGGACAGAGCCGCTGGCAATTCTCCTGCCCAGAAGGCCCAGCCACAAAGCTAGTGGCCTTCTGCTGGGCTCCCTGGTCAGAAGAGTTGTGTCCTGGGCTTATAGTTCTCCCTCTGAGAGCTCCCCATCCCCAACATTAACCAGGGGATTTTCTGTTCAAAATGCAATGACAAATTCTGAGTAAGTGTCCATAGGGTGCAGGCACATGTATGGTCTCAAAGCTTCCTGGGTGATTTGGGTGGGCACACATGACCAAGAGTCCTTGATTTAAATGGATTTGAGTCATTCCTTAAATCATATAAACGTATGTACCTAAAATATGTAAAGTGTGAGAATTTGTTGTAGCTGCCTTAAATATATTGGGAATCTCTGTCAGAAGGTGATGAATGATGGTTTCCGGGAGGAAAGCTGAATGGCTGGGGACAGAGAGGGAGATTCTTTACCCTTAATCCTTCCATGCTTTTTAAATTACATCAAGTGCATGGAGGAGCATACTTCAAAAAAGTCTATGGGCGGCTGGTACTGTGGCTCACTAGGCTAATCCTCCGCCTGCGGCACCGGTACTCCGGGTTCTAGTCCTGGTTGGGGCGCCGGATTCTGTCCCAGTTGCTCCTCTTCCAGTCCAGCTCTCTGCTGTGGCCCGGGAAGGCAGTGGAGGATGGCCCAAGTGCTTGGGTCCTGCACCCGCATGGGAGACCAGGAGGAAGTACCTGGCTTCTGGCTTCGGTCAGCGCAGTGTGCTTAGCCGTAGCAGCCATTTGGGGGATGAACCACCGGAAGGAAGGCTTTTCTCTCTCTCTCACTAATTCTGCCTGTCAAAAAAAAAAAAAAAAAAAAAAGTCTATGGCAAGAAGAACCAAAAAATAAGTTGACTTTAGTGCAAAGTTTGAAAACCATGCACAGAAAATGTATATTAAGGAAAATCTATGCATAGATTTCAAAACTGGTTTGCACCAAATGAATGTACCTTTTAATTCAATTTTCCACATTTTTTAAAAAGTACTTTCATATTATCTATTAAAACAAAGTAAAAAGAAAACCAAACGTTAAAAGCATATTTGCTGGGCCGGCGCTGTGGCACAGTGGGTTAAGCTGCCATCGACAGCGCCAGCATCCCTTGTGGGCGCTGGTTCAAATCTCACAGCTGCTCCACTTCTGATCTAGCTCCTTGCTAATGGCAAGGGATAGCAACTGAAGATGTCCAAGTGCTTGGGCCCCTGCACCCATGTGGGAGACCCTGGAGAAGCTCCTGGCTCCAGGCTTCAGCCTGGCCTAGGCCTGGCCATTGTGGCCATTTAGAGAGTAAACCAACCAATGGGTAAATCTCTCTTTCCCCTTCCCCCTCCCTCCCTCTCTCTCTGCAATTCTGATTTATAAATAAATCTTTTTCTTTTTTAAAAAAGCAGATTTGCCTTGACACACTCAGCTCAACTGGATCCACTTTTCTTAGCTCAGGTTTTCAAAGCTGTGTAAACTGGGAACATTTTTCTGCAGATGTTTTTGCTAAAGAAACTTCAGAGAAAGCATGAATGACTTTAAAAGAACACTGGAAACAAACACAACAAACATAATAGATCTTACATTCTGATGCTTCTAGAACCCACTCCCCACTTCAGGGTCACACATCTGACCACTGGGCAGCACTTTAGTCAGCTAATGTGGAATAGACAAGGGTTCCCAGTTTGCGGTAAACTAAAACAATTTCATAATCTCTGAGGACAGCAGTTGCCTGGCTCCCGTGGGAGCAGAGAGAGTGGTAAACTTTTCCTTTACATTCTCTTAGGCTGTGTGAATTTTGTGCTGTGCACATGAATTACCAGACAAAAAAATGATTTTCTAAGAACGCTGAGCATGTATGACTGTGTGACCAGCTGACACGTACACTCCCACCCTAAAGCTACTCCCAGCAGCACCTTTGGGTTCAAGGGGCAAAGCTGATTGCACACAGCTTCAAACAGGTGAGGGCAGAGTGATACAAGGTCAGCTGGCGGAGGTGAAACAGCTGCAGAGCTGAGTGGGAGGTGACCTAACAGCCTGGGCCCATTGGTCAGCAGAAAGACCAACAGACAGCGTCACAGCAGGAAGCTGGCTCTTGAACCCAGTAGTGGGCGACGCATGTGTCATCCTCCATGACCCCCAGGGTACTCACTTGCAACATGGCAAACTCGGGCCAAGCATTCGGCAAGTGGGACGCCTGCAGCCTACACCTGAGTGCCTGGGTTCAAGACCCAGCTCCACTTCAGATTCCAGCTTCCTGCTAACGTGCACCTGCAGAGGCGGCAAGTGACAGTGAAGACGGCTGGGTCCCTGCCATCCGCATGGGAGACCAGGATGGAGTTCCCAGCTCCTGGCTTCAGCCTGGCCTCACCCCGCATGCTGCAGGTTTTTGGGAAGTGATCCAGTGGATGGGAGAGCTCGCTCTCTGTATTTCTGTCTCTCTCTCCATCTCTCTGCCTTTCAAATAAGATTAAAGAAAGCAAGCTCACTCTTTAAAAAAATGGAAATATTCTTCCTTGTAATACCTCTTCCAGATAGGCTGTTGACTACAACACACACACACACACCCCCATTAAATTTGGGAGATTTTTCTTCCACCCCCAAAACCTAAAATGCAGGAAAATACATTGAAGTTCTCAAGACTCGGGGTCCCAAGTTGATTTTAATCAATCTCTCTCTCTCTCTCTCTCTCTCTCTCTCTCTCACAGTGTTCTGACTTAAAAGGCAATGAGAATCCATGTTGACCTTCCCACACTTCAAGAGCCACAAGAGACTTTTTATTTTTAATTATTTTTAAATATTGAATTGATACGAAGCTACTGTTATCACACATTCATGCACGGACATGAGAAGTCACTCTTCCCCCACCCCTCCTGAAGAAGTGATTTTGACAATCATTAAGTGAGAGGTCAGATAAGGTTTCAAGTCCACGTGCTCCTTGGTCACAGGCAGGTCAGCTTCCAGGAAAGCCCAGGAATGAGACCTCATGGGAGAAGTTTTGCTCAGAGACAGTTTGTACCGGGTCTCTAGCGGTATTTTCCAAAGGCCCAGGAAAAAATAACTCTGTGGCCCCTGCTACTCAGGATGGTTTGAAACTGATCTTTGTTTCCTAGCTTTTCCTTTTCTACTCAGTTTATCCTTTGGTTTTAGAAATAAAATGGACTTGCCAAGAAAAAAAAAAAAAAAAAACTCCAAGAAACATACCAGCCAGCATAGACTATGACACTAAACATCAGTATCATCACACATACGATGGAAATCCCACAAAAAGGCAAACGGGGGCGGGGGCGATCTCATTCGTCTTTCTGTCTGGCACATTTGCAAATGTAGGCAGCTCCAGGCAAGAGGAAGAAGAAAACCACATCCTAAACCCAGGAGGGCACCCGCAGCCTCCGCGAGGGCTCCCCGTGTTCAGGCGGCTCCCGCAGGGATCCCGCACACGCCTCCGCCTCGCTCACCAACGGGGACACGACGCTTCTCTGGGCAGCACAGTCCGTTCCGGAAGTTAAGGACTTCTCCAAAGGTCAGAGGTGTGGACACACTGCTAAAACAAACAGGAGAATGTGGAAATCAGAGGAAAAGCAGGCAAATCCCAGCCAGGCTGCTAGGGAGGGGACAGGCAAAGCCACTTAACCCTGGGGTGTCCCCTCCTTACCCCACATTGGCCAGACACTGTCTCTCAGAAGGGCACGGAAATGGAACCGAAGCAGCCGAGGATGGGAGAAGCCCAAGCACACCTCCTGTCCAACCGAAATCTTGGAATTTCCCAGGGAGCGGCCCTCAAAGTGACGTCACGTCCTGCAATGCTGCACTGTTTCCAGTTTTGTAATAACCCTTCCTGCCTTAACCAAAAGCTTGGCAGCCCAGAAAGGCCCCGAGCTGAAGCCAGAGCAGCCATGTGGTCCACACTGCACAACTGAAGCCGGCCTGAAAAGGACAGAGCCAGTAAAAGGCAGGCGGGCTGCTCCATAGCTGGGGGGCAGCTCTGGGTTTCCAAGCAGAGAGATCTATGTCCAAATGAAGGGCCAGACAGACCCAGCCCAGGCTGGCTGCCTCAGGTGCAGCAGTTGAGGGATATGGAGGAGTCTGAGGCAGAAACCAACTCAACACTTCTCTACTTAGCTGCCCTCTGCGGCATTCAGCCAGCCACAGACGCCCCAGCAGGTGCACATTCACGGGGCAAAAGCAGGGCTTCTCCAAATGCAAATGACCTCATCAACGGGGAACCAGGAGAAGAGTCCATAAGAAACTTTCAGAGATACCAATATCATGTACGGATCTCATGTGTACCTTGATTCCAATAAACTACTCAAGTATGAAACACTAGGGGGAAACTGTATGCTGACCAGATGTCTGTCACTAAAGACTTCATATTTTGTGCCAGTGGATGCATCTAGTTTTGTATTTTTTTGCATGATTCCACTTCATGCAAAATGACATGAAACATGTGAATGACGTCATGTCCTGGGGTGTGCTGTGAAATGATCCCAGAGGGAGTGAAGGTATAGAAGGAACAAGAGGCCATGATTTCAGACTTCTAGAAGCTGAGCAAGGAGTCCACGAGGGCTTGTCCCCTGACTGTTGTGCAGTTTTTATTTTCCGTCATGGAAACTGGAATAAAGCAGGTGCCCCCGGGAGGAATGGGCTGCCCGGGTATCCACACTTCACCTTGAACACTCCTGTTGTGACGCCTCCACACTTCACACTCCACGGCAGCAGCAGGCGATCCAGCTTCTCCCGCAGAATCCAAGTCCTCTGTGTCCGTGGAAAGCCTTCCTAAAAACCGGGCAGCCAGCGTCGTGGCGCTGCAGGTTAAACCAGCGCTTGGAATGCTCACATCCCGTATAGAGTGCCTGGAAGAGTCCCACCTCTGCTTCCAATCCAGCTTCCTGCTAATGTGCCTGGGAGGCAGCAGGTGATGGCCCTAGAACTTAGGTTCCTGCCACTCACATGGGAACCCAGATGCAGTTCCTGGCTCCTGGCTTCCACCTGGCTGAGTTCTGGCTGTTATAGGCCTTGGGGAATAAATTAGCAGATTTAAAGTGCTCGCCCGCCCTCGCCCTCTCTCTCTCTCCCTCCACCTTTCAAATAGATGCATCTTTAAGACCTGTGAGATCTGCAACCCCTCCTCCGCTGAGTGACCAGCTCAGAAACAAACCAATCAGTCTTCAGGGTCAGTAGCCTTGGACTTAGCTGAGCGGCTCACTGCTCTGGCATCTCTGAGAGGTGGCTTTACCAGCAAGCGATCCTAGCCGGGGTGACAAGATTGGCTGCCCAACAGCGTGCAGCACCCTGCCGGCATCAGCAGCTGCTCTGGGGCCCCAGCACCTGCACATGACGACCGTCAGTGAGGGTGGGAGCCTTGCCCAGAGGGAGCCGGGAATAAGGAGACAACTTCTAACAAGGGGGAATGGAGGTCACTGGGCATGGGACAGACAGGTGGCAGCAAGACCCTTTGCACCTGCTCCAGTTTGCCCAGGGTGCACTCTTCCTAGGAAAGGGGAGGAAGCCCTGGTCTCTCCTTGTCCCACCAGGCGCCGCCATCCCTACAGCCCACACAAGAGGCAGGGCCACTTCTCAGAAGGCTGCGGTTACCTCAATGTAGGGATGGACAACAGGGCTGTGAGGGCCTCTGAGGTTCGACCCTCACCCAGGTCTCCCACCCCGTAACCAGCAAGAGGGTGAAGGCAGTAAGACCCCCAACCCACAGCAAAGAGAAACAGCCAGAGCCCAGGGTTACTTTGTGCTACCATTGAGATTTCCATTCTGAGAGCTTCATGGCTAGGAAAACCCTTGTAACGGGTATTATTGCTAAAGCAGAATATAATCAAAATAATCTAATATGATGTTTATCCTGGCGGTTGAAAAAGAAATTACTTCACAAGAACAAAGTTATAACAATTTAATAATTTAAACAGAGCTACTTCAGGAGCATACACACACCAACACACACACATACAGGAAATGCTAACAATTTCATTGAACAGTATATTTAAATTCTTTAAAAAATCCCCCAAATGGACTCAATGTCAAGGATATGAAAATGTCATTTTGAAGCAGGACACAGGACAGTGGAACAGACATGACACTGACCAACAAAACAAGAGCCTGTGGCTACATCACACTTTTATAAGAACATTACAAGGGAACGTTAAGACAGTCATGAAAAAGGATACACATGGCCTCAGAAAGATGAATTCATAGTTAACAATGTCTTTGGTTCCTCCAAGTTACATTTGTTTTGACTTGAACACACCAAACACAAGTTGAGTGCTTAGAGCTCTCCCTATAAATGTCTAAACATTAAGCGGGCTGATGTTTACACCAGCTTCGAAATTTAAAGGAATTCAAAAATCACCACTGTACCACAGAAACTCCAAATACAGAAAAATCCAGGAAATGCGGGAAGTAGGGGAAAATGTAAAATAAAATAAAACCTCTGCTACCTTGTCCCATGATGAGCTAAAAAGCATTAAATTGGCAGACAGGATGCCAAGTGAAAACCAGCAAGGCAGTTAATTCATCTGAAGGAAATGGGATCAATTTGAAGAGCATGTGTCAATCAGTGAGGATTTCCTGGGGGGCTGTGTTTGAGGTTCTGTGTTTGAGGGGAGGCTGGGGTTCTATGGTTTCATTTGGCCCATGCTGCCCCAGGAGAGGAAATCTATGAGCAAGGCAATGACTCACGGGACTACAATCCTACATCACCGCCCTGAGTCACACCCAAGACAAGACCCATGTGGACCCCAGGCGAACTCAAGGCCGGGCGCTTCCGGGAGTGGTGCAATGCAAGAGCAGTGGGCACACATCCTGACGCCCGGAGCCCACGCCAGCTTCTGCACACTGACCATGACAGGCAGCCTCAGGTGTTGGGAAGGTCTTAGAAAACCACTTCATAAGATCAAAAGTAAAATGTTTTAAGGCACCTACGAGGGACGCACAAAGTAAGCTCACAAGGAACCCCTAAAGGTCAAAGTGTGAAGACCAGTTCTTTGCAGGGTCAAGACTGAGCCTTATAAAATAAAAGGCCTAAGTGTCCACACTTTACATGGCGTGATATTCTCCTCAAAGGCACAGAGAGTTCAATGTCTAAATCCCTGTATGTTGACATGAGAAGCCACGCATAAACAACTCCAGGAACTAAGACCCTGCGCTTGAATTTAAAAAGAAAGAAGGTAGACATGTGCCTTTTTGAACTCACAGTAAATCAAAACCATGGATATTCCACCACCTTCCCCTGGTGACTAACACAACACCTGGAGGGCTAAAAAATAAAAATATACACAGGGAAAATGTCCCTGGTGTTTCAATAAACATGATCGCAGTTGCACTTGGAACTCACAGAGCAGCGATGCACACGACACAGGCTTACTGTGGCCCAGGTTTTATCAGAGGAGGAAACACCAGCAGATCGGGCAGAGTTCTGGCCACCCCAGCCCTCCTGAGCTTGGGTCATGGGCCCACACTATTCAGGAAACGGGCAAATTCTCCTCTTTCCCAGCAGCCTCCAGTTAGCCAAGTGGCAGTGGTGTTGTGCACATAATTTCCATCACTGTTCTCACTAGTGTTGCCGGCAAAAGGTGGCAGGAAGAAAGTAGAGGACTCACCCCTTTATTAATTATTTTATTTGACTTTCTATAAATAATTCTTTAAATACAATTATGGACAAGGAACAAACATCACGGCAAATACACACACAACGGAGAGCAGACGGACAAGTCCACAGGCCCTACAGAGCACGCGGCACTTGCGGGCGGGCGCTCAGCTCCTGATGAGAGTCAGGAACTCTTCCCGAGTCTTGGGGTCCTCCCGGAACACGCCCAGCATGGTGCTGGTCACAGTCTTGCTGTTCATTTTCTGCACCCCTCGCATTACCATGCACATGTGTCTGCGAAACGAGATACCAAAGGTCATTCAGATGCTTTTAAGGAGCAAGTTGACAAAGGGTTAACCTCAGATTGTGGTTACCAAGTGGGTCAAGATCCCTTCTCACCCGAAGGCTGTCTACCACTCTTTCATGAGTGGCAAAGGAGACACCAAGAGAAGACAACCCGCTCCTGGTTATGCATCTCTGCAACAAAGCTCCCTGCACCTCCACAACCCCACACACCAAAATCTCTCCCATTCCCTGGCTTGTACATCAGTGCCACAGGAAATCAAAGGGGCGAAAGGGGTTCAGGCTCAGAGATGGAAACCCACGGTGACAGTGGCAACTGTAGAGTACCACCTGGATCTAGAAAACCGGGCTGCCCCAGCTATGAAGATCAACTTGTGCGTCGCTCGCTCTGACACTGTGAATGGCGGGCATGGACTTACGTTGCTTCAACCACCACCCCAACTCCAGCAGGGTGCAAGGCTTCTGTGATCGCCACGGCAATTTGCTTCGTAAGGCGCTCTTGAACTGCGAATAGGACAAGGAGCTCAGTGTGAGAGTCAGACCTACACCGCCGGGAGCGTTTCTCCTCCCAGCACACCTCAAGTCTTAAGAAGCAGACATCTGTTGAGAGTTAATAGCCAAGACACATCAGCTTCCACCCTTCTCCCACAGCTGCCGACTGGGCCACGTGTAGGCCTCTGTTCGACTCCCTCACCTGCAGCCCAGATGCTGAAGTGACCTCAGGAGCCCACGAGGCCAGCCCTCCTCCATCCCCAGCACCCCTGGGAGGAAGGGACTGGAGTGGTAACTGTCTCCCCCATGTGCAGGAGGACCAACTGAGGAGCAAGCATCCCTGGGCTGGCCATGTGGTGCACCAAGTTAAGCCTCTGCCTGTGATGCCGGCATCCCATACAAGTGCCAGTTCAAGTCCAAGCTGCTCTATTTCCAATGCAGATTCCTGCGAATGACCTGGGAAGGCAGAGGAAGATGGCCCAAGTGCTGGGGTCCCTGCCACCCACGTGGGAGAATCAGATGGAGTTCCAGGTTTCTGACTTCAGCCTGGCACAGACCAGGTCATCGTAGTCATTTGGGGAGTGAATCTGTGGTTGCAAAATTCTCTCTCTCTCTCCCTCTCCCTCCCTCTGTCTGTAACTCTGCCTTTCAAATAAATAAACATTAAAAAAAAAAAGCCTGAAACAGGACCCACGAAAGTGCTACAGTGTGATTACTGCGGAAAACCAGTGATTTAAATAACCCTTCCCTGTGCTGAACAACACAACACGTCCTGATGTACATGCAAGGGAGTTCCCTGCAGCAGTGCATCGGCTGAGAACTTACAAAATGCCCAGATGCCTACTGGCCTACTGGAGCAGGGGCTGGCATGGCACACACTTTGGAATTCTAAATACCTACATGAATATGGGGGAAATGCTAAAGATTTTTAAGTGACAAAAAGTACAAGAAAAAAGAAAGGGAAGCCAATTATAGAAATGTGATCCTCTTGTTCAATAGAATACAAAGTACCAGTCAAACAGTATGGGCATAAAAAAGTGAATGGATGTGAGAAGGCAAGAGATTTCTCCTGGAGGCCTGAAACACAGCAGTCCTGCTCTTATTTGCCTATGAGGCTTTAATTTTATTACACTTACAATAAAATTTTTATACAAGAAAAATATTTTCTGTAAATAGAGATTTTTTAAAGTTTACCTTGTAGTCTTCTACTGTAGATTTCTACAATCCTGCAAAAACAAAGAATGGGGGTGTTAGTTCATCATGAATTATTTGAAGAAAGATGCATATTTTGACGTAGTGGTTACAACAGTGCTTGGGACACCCACATTCCACATGGGAGCGCCTAGGGAGGAGTCCTGGCTCCACTTCCAATTCCAGCTTCCTGCTATTGCACACCCTGGGAGGCAGCGATGAGGGCTCAAGAACTTGGGTGCCGGCCACCCATGTGGGAAATCTGGATGGAGTTCCCGGCTCCTGGTTTTGGCCTGGCCCAGCCCTGGCTGTTGCAGGCATTTGAGTAGTGAAACAGCAATGAGTGATCCCTTTCTGCCTTTCAAAAATAAACACCATAAATAAGGTTTTAAAGTAAAAAATAATGTCTTTGCCATAAGAAAAAAAAGTGGGGGGGACACAGTTGAAGCAATACTAGGGTGTGGGCAGGGATAATGCTTGTGGGAAGAGGATAGAAAAACACAAGTCCCACAGGGAAATGTGGTCCGAAGGAGCCCACTGGCCACCACACAGAACGGTGTTTCCTTAGGTCCTGAGGCAGAGACAGAGACACAGAGAGAAAGGCAGTGTGTAAATGAGTCTCCAAGTGTAATGTTCACTTAGGAAAAACACAAAAACAAAAAACAACACTTTAAAGCTCCTAAGTCATCAATTTTAGGCCAAGTCTCAAGCGTTCTCATTAATCATATTTTACCAAAGCTTTAAGTTAAAATCAAAGGACTATTTGTTAATTAACAGCAGGTCAACTACTGCACCAACTAAATCTATTAGGGTAATCAGATTAGAACTGATTAGATTTCTTCAGACATCTACAAAACGGCTTTATGTAAGCACGTAGCATGATTCACCTCCCAAAAACACAAGCCTCCTGGTCTCAGACCACCACCTGTCAGCTGGTGGGTCTTCTGCTTCCACAGCTCTCCCTCTCCGCGTGAGAATCAAGGACCGCCATGTGGATCGCCCACTTGATAGTAACGAACCATGCTGAGGATCTCTTGTAAATCTTAGCCTTTGCATCCTGAATTGGACTCAATTTAATGATCACCTCTCCCAAGAAAATTTTACAGCTCTTCCCCTCAGTTCTTCCCCTCAAACAGAACTGAGGACTTTCCATCCTTGTTGGAGCCAACAGTCACTGGCACACCATCCTGTTCACCACTCAGCCAGAGCTCCCTGGAATACAGGAGCTCTGCTGATTCTTCAAGTTGCCAAAGGAATGTGGTATCCAAAGGACAGGACTATATTCTTTTAAACAGAAACCTGGGAAAAAGGTGGTTTCCATCCTAGATAGGGGCTATGTCATATTTTTGCTGGGTCACATTTGTGTGTACATTACTCCTGATAGTTTTCCAGGTGGCTAATGTGTTACACAAGTATGAGACGCCATTGGTTTAAGTAGGTAATGTCTTCCTTCTCATATTCGTCCTTTGTTCCTTGGGTAGCACTCAAGGGCAGCATTGGACAATGGTGGGTAGCACTGGGCATCAGCGGTTTACTCCACACTTGACTATGTGACTGTCACCCATGGCACCTGCCACTTGCCAGCAGAGGGCTGCCCTCACCCCTGGAGGTCATTCACATGGACTTTGATGGAGTCCACATGATTACTTGGTGAACAGGTTCCCTGTGCTCACAGAGTTCATAATTCTTATTCCTAGATTATTCTATTTTATTCTCCACCCCCCCAAATAAACCTTTATTTAAGGAATACAAACTTCATGCATTTCATAAGTACACCTTTAGGAATATAGTGCTTCCTCCCACCATACCTGCCCTCCCACCCACACTCCCACTCCTCCTTCTCCTCCCTCGCCCCTTCTCAGTCCCATTCTCCACTAAGATCCATTTTCAATTAACTTTGTACACAGAAGACCAACGCTATACTAAGTAAAGAGTTCAACAATTTTCACGAAAGAAAAAAAGAAAACAAAAAAAACCTGCTCCTCAACTGTCAAGACAAGGGCTGTTCAAAGTCATTGCATCTTGACTATAACTTCACTTTTTTTTTTTTTAGAAACTTAATTAACTTTAACGAAGCACCCAAGAATGATACATCTTTTGAGAGCACTTAGACATAGTTATAATACAACTCTTTGAGGACAGAGGACCTGCATGGGGAGATAGTGCACAGTAATTCCTGTTGTTAATTTAACAATCAACACTCTTATGTATGACATCAGTGATCATCTGAGGCTCTTGACATGAGCTGCCTAGGCTATGGAAGCCTTCTGAATCCACAAACTCCTTCAATATTTAGACAAGGCCATAAGCAAATTGGAAGTTCTCGCCTCCGTTCAGAGAAAAGTACTTTCTTCTTTGATGACCATTTCTTTCCACTGGAGGCTCACCCACCAAGGTCCTTCATGTAGGACATTTTTTACCACAGTGTCTTGGTTTTCCATGGCTGAAATGCTCTCATGGGCTTTTCAGCCAGACCAGAATGCCTTAAGGGCTAATTCTGAAACCAGAGTGCTACTTATAGCAGTTGTCATTCTATGAGTCTGTGTGAACTGCTTCCCATGTTGGAGCATTCAATCCTTTTTAATTCTATGTATAATTATTACCAGACCCTTAATCCTATCCATATGATCACTTTAACACTTATGATATTTTTATCACCTAGCTTAAAGGGAATTGGGGTCCCATGGCAAGTTTTTAAACTGTACCCTTAGAAGTAAGTCTGTAGGAATGTATGCAGAACTATACAGCTTTACAATTACAAACTTCACACACTTCATAATCACAGCTTTAGGAACATGATGATTCTTCCCACCATGTCTACCCTCTGACTACACTCTCAATCAATTTTCCTCCTCTCACTCTTACTCCCACTTTTTATTGAGATCTATTTTCAATCGACTTCATACACATATATTTAACCCTATTTTAAATAAAGAGTTCAACAAATAGTATTAAAAAAACTTTTTCCTCAACAGTCAAGACAAGGGCTGTTCAAGTCACTGCTTCTCAAAGTGTCAATTTCACTTCTACAGATTTCATTTTAGGTGCTCTATTAGTTATTTCAGGTCAGGGAGAACATAAGGTATTTGTCCTTTTGGGACTGGCTTATTTCACTAAGTATGATATTTTCCAGATACATCCATTTTGTTGTAAATGACCAGATTTAATTTTCTTTTTTTTAATACTGTGTGGCATTCCATAGTGTACATATGCCATATTTTCTTTATCCAGTCTTCAGTTGATAGGCATCTGTGTTGATTCCATGTCTTAGCTATTGTGAATTGAGCTGCAATAAACATGGGGGTGCAGATAGCTCTTTTATATGTTTATTTCATTTCCCTTAGGTAGATTTCTAGGAGTGGGATGGCTGGGTCATATGGTAAGTCTATATTCAGATTTCTGAGGTATCTCTATACTATCTTCCATAGTGGCTTTACCAGTTTACATTCCCACCAACAGTGGATTAGGGCACCTTTGCCCCTACATCCTCACCAGCATTTGTTGTATTCTTTCTCAAGTAAGGAATAGATGTTGAATTTACCTTGTCTTTTAGCATTTAATATAACTGCCTTTGATTTGAAAAAAATCTTTACTTTGTCCCTGTTCTCAAAATGTCACCTGTTGACAGGTATTTGTCACAAATTCTAGTTTTACATTTACACTCATCTGCCTTTCAATATTGCTGTTGGTCAACCTACTTTCAGTCTAACCACTGTTACTACATAACTAATTGATATTTTCCTCTATGGCTGCTTTGAGTGTATGTACTCTGGAGTTTACTACGCTGTGTCTAGGTAGGAATTTAATTTTGCTTTTCTTGTTTGGGACTTAGATGACATCCTGACTCTGGAGGTTGATATTTTGCATACGTTCAGTAAACTTGTTCAGCCATTATGTTCTCCAATATTCCAACTACTCCATTACCTCTGCTGTCTCCAAAAATTCCAGTTAGTGGCATATTAAATCCATGTATCTTAAATCCTCATTAACATTTTCTACCTGTCTATGTTGCATTCTGTGCACTTTCTTAGAACTCTCTTCAAGTTCATTAAACAAAGATACTTTAAAAAGTTAGTGGAAAATACAATTAAAAGCTACATTTAGGGTAGGTATCTGGCCTAGCAGTTCACTTTCAGACTTTTGATTTCAATTCTTTGAGTTTTGAACTTTATCTTAAAAGCCATGGACGAATAGCATGACTAAATGGACACTAGAGGGAAAAAAAAATCCAGCAGTAGATGAGGGCAGAATGAAGGACCCTAAGAGAGTAAGGCAGAGGGAAGCCAGGAGCTTAACATATAGTCCTGGGGAGAGGCAAGAGGCCCTAATGGGACAAAAAATGGCAGAATAGGGAGGGAACTTACTGCTCTAATCTATGGGAAGATAGTTTAAAAAAAAAAAAAAAAAAAACCAGAGTCCAATCAGGGAAGAGTTAGGGAGAAAATAGCAGAGGAAACTCCATGCAAATCAGAGGGAATCTATGGACCTATGTGGATGGTATGGATGCACACCTCAGCAACTGATAGCAACTGATAGCTTCAGCACCAGCTTCGAAGTGGGGTGAGACCAGACTGCAACAGCCCAAGCCACTGGCAATAAAGCTGCGGGAAGAGCCTGGTGTGAGTATGGCTGAGAGCCCTGTGGGGGACAGTGTACCGTCCAACCTAGAGGAGAACGAAGTGGAGGAGCACATTTCTCTCTCCCTGAACACCTGATGCCAGCTTCTTGTAACTAGCCAAGAAAGGGTAGGTACTATTTTGGACATACATAACAGTTGCACCTGCTCATGTCCACATGCCCAACAGCCAAGCAGAGACACCTGTGTTTGGCCAGGAGAACTGAGAATGGGCTGGGTGCTCATGATTGTGGGAGCCTTGTGTGCTGGGACTATGAAAACACTGTGGCTGTATGTGAGGGCACAGGGTGTGGCTGGGTCTTTGGGTAGTCACGGAGGGTGGCTCCACACACTCAGAGCTCCCCGATAACCTGGTAAGAGTCATTGCTGCAGGATCCGTACTCACACCAAGGACTGACT